TGCAATTTTTGTCATCGGTATCATATTAAAGCTGTAAAGGTGTTTTTTGCGAAAACTGCATTTTTTTATAAAGTTACACATTCGTTAATTAAGCTCCTTAGAATAAAATGTATGCATTCATATTATGGAATTGAGTAATTGATTCATTATGTAACATTATGTAACGTTGTAATCTTTAAAATTTTCCATAACTTAAAAAACTAAATAAAAAGTTAAATACACTTTAAAGTCACACTTCTACATCATTAAGATTTGGATGTTGTAGTTTTGATGCAATAGTAATGGTATTAATCTGTCTAAAACTGTTATAGTCTTTATTATCGATATGCAGTTCAATTTCTGCTGGGTATTTCTCGTATTTTTTTTTTTTTTGAGTTTTTTGGAGTTGAATTACTACTATATTAAAATACAATAATTCCTGCGTTATTCACAAAGCATGAACCTAATAAAAGTTATAACAGAATTAATTATATGATGCACGGTAGCTTTGAAAACATGTTGCTTTATATTGCATGTTCTATATTTGAACTATTTTCTGAAACCATTGTATAGAAGGAAGGTAACCGATTTTTTTATCATTAATTTAAAATGTTAAATTCTTCTCAAAGGCAAATATGTTAAAAATCCGAATACATAATTATTAACCTCCCGAAGAAGAATTTTGTTTTCTTCAAAAAATCTGATTTATGTTTTATTGTTTATTTTTTACGCTAATTTTGTTTTCTCGCCGTTTCAAGCCATTCTGAATCGAATGAGATCAAGTTTGGAAAAAGTATGTGTGTGTGTGAACATATTTTTTACCGTAAATCGACGCTTTCTCAAAAACGTCTGGACCGATTTCAAAAATTTAAATTTTTTTTGATGTATCTCGATGAGGACTATCGTTTGTCAGTTTTGCGCTACGATCGGCCGAACCGTTTCTTTGTAAATCGCAGAAAAGTGAGGAAAATTTCGTCCATGTTTTAGCCCGCAATTCTGAATCGATTTTAAAATTTTTAAAACCGTTCGAAAGATATTTAGACCAAGAGCCCGTGGGCGGATGACAGTATGTATTTTACGACACCTGAGATTTTGTGCATCGATTCCTCTATAACTATCATACATGAGATGGGGACTGACTAAGCCCAAACTGGCGGACACAGCTACTGCGCAGCTGGTAAAGGTACCTTTTTTTCGACCATATCCGAACCATTTTACGACGGTTGCCGTTTCGAAAATTTGAAAATATAATATTATTACTATCATAAAATAACAATGGCAGACGATTATCGCGCGGTCAACATGGTGGCAGACGATTTTGAAATGCAGAAAAAAAATTTTTTGAATGTATTTTATGATGTCTGCCATTTACATTTTTATTCCTTATAGTATCAAAACCTTATATTTATTACGGCAGACGTGTACCGCGTACTAAACATCAGCAGAGTTACAAAACTCAGCTACCATCTGGCCTGATAGTATGCATAAATCTCCACGTTTTTAAACGGATAAAAAGCAATTTTTTCATAATGATAATAGAAATAATATTTTTTAGTCTATATGTGACATTCAATAATGTTGATGAGCAGAAAAAACATTTTTTACGCTAAATTCATAAAGATTAAAGTATACAAACGATAACAACAATTATTGTAATCATTATTCAATTTTTTTATTTATTTTAGTCTAATTTCTATATAAAAATAAAGTTATACATTATTATATATATATACGTATATATATATATATGGATATGTATATATATATATATATATATATATATATATATAATATATATACTTTATTTGTCATCATCTCGGAGCCATATCTCTCTTTTGATGATTCCTCATCATCCGCTGAATCAGATTCTATAAAATAATAAGTCAATTGTAAAATAAAAATTATTTCAAAATCCAACTAAAGAAAGATGTTTGATAAAGACGAAATTCTCCGACCATACTTAAAAAAATTAAAAAATAATAATAATATAAAAGCTGAAAAGTATTAAAAAGATCTTGTATGGGGGTTCTTTGTTAAATTTTCTTCACCAAGTGTAGCAAACGTTTGTTGAAAATCGATTTTTTTTAGAGAATTGTAAGGTCTTTTTTTTCTTTGTTAAAGAAGGCTGGATTGAAATCACAACCAGTAAAAGCGTAACAACAAATTGAACTTTTGGCAAACAACTTCGTAATGTTAATATATCTCTGGTTAATTTCAACCCCATTTAGCATCCAAATTTTTGAATCACTATATTTCTTAGTTATCTCATATTACCAAATCATATTACCAATATTATACTGATATTTTGCAGTATCGAAGGTCCTAAAATATTGGAACGATATGCTCAGCGATGTTACGCGCGTTTGTGTCAGGTTCTTCATGTGAAGACCAGCAAAAATCTTCAACAACACGCGGTTGGACATTTTTGATTATCAACCTTGTACAATTGGCAGTCTCAAAAATTCAAATAAATTAAAAAAAATTAAATAAAAAATATCGATCTTCAACAAGGGTTTGCTACACACGGTTTAGCAAAGAAGAAAATTTAATAGAAAACCATCTAAATTATTTGCCAAATATATAATGCAAAAAGACCTAATGACGTGGTTGTTGGAAGGTACAAACTATTCATTAATAACTATAAAGCTTACAACGTCAATAAAGAATTCAGCAGAAAAATTCTAAATTTTGGTGCAAGTTCAATCCCGTAGTTTATCAACAATTATTAAGAGCCACTATAACTATATTAGGAATAATGTCTATAACAAGCAACCAACATTGTAGGGCGCATTAAAGTATGGTCGGAGAATCTCGTCTTTATCAAACATCTTTAGTTGGATTTTGAAATAATTTTTATTTTACAATTGACTTATTATTTTATAGAATCTGATTCAGCGGATGATGAGGAATCATCAAAAGAGAGATATGGCTCCGAGATGATGACAAATAAAGTATATATATATATATATATATATATATATATACATATATATATATATATATATATATATAATAATGTATAACTTTATTTTTATATAGAAATTAGACTAAAATAAATAATTGAATAATGATTACAATAATTGTTGTTATCGTTTGTATACTTTAATCTTTATGAATTTAGCGTAAAAAAATGTTTTTTTTCGCTCATCAACATTATTGAATGTCACATAAAGACTAAAAAATATTAATTTCTATTATCATTATGAAAAAATTGCTTTATCCGTTTAAAACGTGGAGATTTATGCATACTATCAGGCCAGATGGTAGCTGAGTTTTTAACTCTGCTGATGTTAGTACGCCAGGTACACGTCTGCCGTGATAAATATAAGGTTTTGATACTATAAGGAATAAAATATGTAAATGGCAGACATCATAAAATACATTCAAAAAAAATTTTTTTCTGCATTTTCAAAATCGTCTGCCACCATGTTGACCGCGCGATAATCGTCTGCCATTGTTATTTTTGATAGTAATAATATTATATTTTCAAATTTTCGAAACGGCAACCGTCGTAAAATGGTTCGGATATGGTCGAAAAAAAGGTACCTTTACCAGCTGCGCAGTAGCTGTGTCCGCCAGTTTGGGCTTAGTCAGTCCCCATCTCATGTATGATAGTTATAGAGGAATCGATGCACAAAATCTCAGGTGTCGTAAAATACATACTGTCATCCGCCCACGGGCTCTTGGTCTAATTGGTTGGGAATCGAGGTGATTAGTTTTTGGTAAAGATCGGACGGGCCGTTTTCTTGTAATAAAGTGTTAAACTAATTTTTTTCGACGATTTTTATGATTTCTTTTTGACGGTAGATACCATGGCCTTATAGATTATAGTAAAATATTACGGCTCTACGACAACTCGTTCAACTACAAAAATTCGTCAAAGTTTGCAACAATTAGTACTAATTTTACGATAAGTGTCGTCGTACCAATTTTAGATACATATCGTTTTTTTTTTTTGGCATTTGCCAAAATTAGACCTTTGATCGACGTTTTCTCAAAAACGCCTGAATCGATTTCAGAAATTTAAAAGCCATTTGATGTATCTCAATGAGGACTATCGTTTGTCAGTTGTGTGCGACGATCTGCCGTGTCGTTTCTTTGCAATTTGAAAAAAAAGTGTTAAACTTTTCGTCTACATTTAAGCTCATACTACCGAACCGATTTTAAAAAATCAAAAACTATTCGAAAGGTATTAGTTGTGAATGATACTGATTAGTTTTAGGTGAAAATATACAAAGACGTTTTCTTGTAATTAACTGTTGTAAAAAGTATTTAAGTCGATTTTTATGGAACTTTTTTGGCGATATATATTATATTCCTATAGAATTTACTAAAATATTACGGCATTACGATAAATAGTTTAATTTTAAAAGGTCATCAAAGTTTAAGAAAATGAGTAAAAATGGACGACTTACTTGGTAAATCGGTTTTAATGAACTTACTAAACCATAAAAATGATTGATTTTTGAAAATTTGCTTTTAAAAAATACTCCGAGTAAGAAACGTTTTTGTTCGTTTTCAATTATGTCATCACTCATAAATTAATTTCTTTTTCATTGATAAGTCGATTATTTACACATATCGGGAAGTTCAAGTAACTTGCCTCAAGGCAAAATAGTAATAACAACTAGTTATTGTATGATACATCAAGGCTCAGTTCATCAGCTGATGAATATTGATAAAGTCAAAATCTTTGAATTATACTAATACGGAAAAGCTCTATATCGCAGGTCTAAAAAAGTACTATGACAATATATAAATTTTCTTCCGATAATTAAGTATTTGCTAAGAATTTGAAGGGGGAGATCAATCTTGGATTTCAATTTTTCATCAAATCAAAACATATTATGTACAGTATACAAATTTTTGCACAGCTTTCATTTTCCAATTAAAAATGCATATTAAAAAATGTATTTTGTGCTTTTTTCTTTGCTGAAACTAATTATCTCCATTATTTCAACAGAGAAGAAGTCCGGGAGCACAGTGTTCGATGGGGTACCAGTTTCCAATTCGTCTGCAAAATGTCAGCGCCCGCGTCAACTGGTGTCCTTGATCCTTGTGTTCTACGGGTTTCAGTTCGAAAAGAATTGAAAGGAGGTAGAAGCTACAGGAAGCTCGGCTTCTGTGATCTCAATTTGGCAGAGTTTGCCGCTGCCGGCGTCGCCACCGCAAGGAGGTGTCTGCTGGAAGGATATGACCAAAGGCATAGGCAAGATAATAGCATGTTAAGAGTCGCCATCAAGATGTCGATGCTCAGTGGCGATATTTTATTCAAAGTGTAAGTTGGTTAGAATTTTAATTGTTATCTCGTTTCAAATTGCATTCTATTTCTTAAGAGGGTTGTTCGTTTTTTTCAAATTAATTTTGTTTTAATTTTTCTATTAAAGTTTTTAATATAATATACTAAATACACTATTTAATTTAATGTACTAAATACACTATGGTGTTCAAAGATGCTGACACATTAAAAAGGTCATGTGCATGAGCTATTATAATGAAAAAGAGAGCAGCTGGCATACAATAGCTAACGGAGCGATAAAAAAAACGGTTTCAGAGGATAATACATATAGATATATATATATATATATATATATATATATATATATCAATAACTTAGTCAAAAAACTAAATATTGTGACGATTTTTTTTAAATAATTCTAAGGTTTTTAGCTTTCATAATATCAAAAAATCTCAAATTCGAAAAAAAATAAATAAAAACAGAACCACCCCCTTAATCTAAAATTAATATGAAATACACCAACTGTTAAAATCGGATAGTAGGGTAGACTGGATACGATTGTGACACTTTTTATTGATTAGCAATAATTTTGTTAATACACCTTTGAGTAACGTAATAAAATTAAATAATGAATTGAACATTCGTCTACGAAGAAATACTAAAATATTTTTCTTAAATGCGATGAATTAGTCATAAAAACAAATCATACAAGAAAACTCTTCAATGCGAGTGTCACAACCGTATATGCCCGAGGGACGGTTGTGACAGGCATAAAAATGGGGTAAAAAGCAATAGCTATAAACAAAAAAATGGTCTATAAAGACTTTTATTGCAAGAAAAAACAACACAATCATTTAAACAAAGCTTATGAATATAATATAACAATATATATAACATAAAGATGTCGCATAGAACAGAAATAATTGCTGGTAATTAACTACTAAAGTCCAACTTACAACAAAATAACAAACAAAGTGATCTATATGTGTATATAAGTAACAATATTGTTACAATATTATTAAAGGAAATTGAACAAAACTAACTATTGGCTCTTTAAAAGCAATTCGCTGGCTCAATGCTCTGTTCGAACATTCATATTTCATATTTCTTGCTTTGGACCCTGTCTCAAAATCAATATAGTTCAGATGTTATGACGACTGTGACTACCGTAAACTGGCACAACCGTACCCATGTCTCCCCTATATAATTATTAACGTGCTCCGATTTTTAGTGAAGCATTTTCAACTATAAAGAGCTTTGTTTACTTTGTCATCAAAGATAACTGATATTAATTCTTATACCAAAGTTATTTTATGCTTTTTTGCTTAATTGTTTGTTGAAATTGCTGGTGAATTGATCATCGTTGTTTCACATTTGACCTAATACCTATCAAAATGAAGAAACAATTTTTATTAATAAACATGCTTTCATTGCTCTCCAACATTTTGGCCGGTTTCAATGAGGTTTTAATCGAAGTGACTGAATTCCTTGAGTTCGCCAAAATATTATAATTTTTTTTTATCAAATTAGTTACCTTATTATATGCGATGAGTGCATATATTTTTGACTTTTACGTTTAAAATTGTAAAATATTTGTTTCTAATTTTTTAAAATTTATTAGTATCTATTAAAGTTTGGGTTCTAAATTTTGGCAACAACCAACTATAACATTTTATATATTAGTTTATGGTTATTAGTTAAATTAGAAACTAGTGGAGCATGGAATTGTGCTTTAAAGCAAATTGCTGACAATTTCCGTACCGTGCATACCGTTGAATAAAAATAATTCATGATCAATAAAAATTGATTAATAATCAATAACAATTGTTTTGAATATGTCTAAATAGATTAAAATTTGTCGTAAATTTTATCATTCGTATTTTATAGACGAAGTATAAGAGCTTATAAATTATGTGTAATTTGCCTATAAAATACTAATGATTCACAGCATTCCATTTCTATTTTTGTCACAATTGCTACCAATTTTCGGAACCGCTGGATATTTGTCAAAAACTAATTACCACATCTTCTCATCAATATAAATCGAATGTTTTTTGAATCATTCAAATCGGTTGACCATGCTCTTCAAACCATGGGCGAAAAATTGTATCCGAACCTGCAAACATACATCCTTACCAAAAAATTTAAGCCGATTTTTATGGAACTTTTTTTGGCGAGATAAATCATGGCCTTATAGAACTTCCTGAAATATTGCGACTTTACGACAAGTAGTTTAATTTTAAAAATTCATCAAAGTTTGAGAAAATGGGTATTTTTTTTGACGTTTGTTGAAATTAAAATTAGACGATTTACTTGGTATAACATTAGAGTACTTGGTCTTAATGAACATACTAAATCATTAAAGTCCTACGGAAACTTGTTCAATTATAAAAATTATTGATTTTTGAAAATTTACTTTTAGAAAATACTCCGAATTAACTTGATCGTTCGTTCTCAATTGTGTACTTTTAATCACTCATAAATTAATTTATTTTTTTATTGATTAAGTCGATTATTTACACATATCGAAAAGTTCATGTAACTTGCCTCAAGGCAAAATACCAATACCAAATACTTTTTATTTCTTTTTGAATCAGATATTTAATACGTAGTTGGTTGATTAAAATTTTGGAGTAATTATTGTATTCAAAAGCGGTATTATATATACGAAAATAATTCTAAAAATAATAAACATCTTCTAATAGTGAATGTGTACGTAAAATGTGTAAAAATAATGGAAAATATTTTCATTGGTATAGGTTGATTCTATTTTTGCATCGTATTTCGTTTTGCATGGTGTTTGATTATTAATGTAAATTTCAGGCCAACGCCTTCATTAAAGCACAGCAGGCCGCCTTCACAAGACGACATAAGTGTTTCCAGTGAATTAGAATCCAGGGCGCGCGACGATTGTAGCAACGCTTCCGGATCATCCGGATTCGGGTCTTTGCCAAAGAAAAGGCCGGCGCTACTCGGATCAGGTGAGATAATTCAATTGGGTTTTGTTTGCATATTCAACACTCTCAGCTATTAATATTAAGTGTATTTTAATCACTAATTGTCATATACAGGGTGTGCCAGAACTCAACGTCAATTCGAAATGGAGTGATGGTATTGATCGTAACTGGCAAAAAAATTACAAAAAAAAAATTCTCACGTTGTATGGAAATTATCTGCTTTTAAGTGCAACTTAGGGCTTTGGTAAAATTGTGACTATTGTTCGGTTATTGTGGTTAATTTTTATTATTTCTGTTCATTAAAATTCTAGAACCGTAATCGTGAATAACATTATAGGACCACAGTCGAAAACAATGATACAATTGCCTGTTTCAAAAATTAATACTTTTTGTTGAACTATGAATTATAAAATTTTAAAATTGGTCTACCTTGAGTGGCCTTCCTTTGAAATAATGTACTAAATTGTACTGGCAAGTTTCATAAAAAGTTAGTACATTTTATCAGAATTGTAAAATGGTAAAACACTTGTGATAATTTTATAATAATAAAAAAATTAGTTAAAAAAGCCGAAGAAGTCCCATAAATTCTGACCCACTTAAATGTTTTGGTTTGCATAAGCTTCCAGTAGTTTCCTAATTTTACTGTAAAATTGTGATAAATATTAAGTGAATATGTTTTCTACGACTAAACGAAGCAGATACTGACGTCGCTTACCAAAATTATCACAAATAAGTAAAATTAACTAGCTGTAAGTGGAATTCTGTCTGAAGGCAATTAGGGCATCGTGCCTTAAGGCAAATTGCAGGAACTTCCCGTACCAAAAATTATTATTTTTTAAAAAACGATTAACATTTTTGAAAAAATTTTACTTCACAAAAATAAGATTTTTGAGAAACTATAAATTGGACAAAGAATTACTTTCTCTTGAAAAAAAAATTTTTTTAGAAAAAATAATTCTAAAAAAATGTTTTCTTTATTTTGACATATTTTGGAAGATCTGAACTTTTTTTCAAAGCATCGTACTGCTTGAACTGCATAGAGACAAAATATAAAGCGTAAAGCGCCGCGTCGCTGTCTAACGGATAAACATTGGTACGGAACCCATAGGCATGTAAACAAAATTTATACTTATTGTTAAAATCTCTATAAAATATCTGATAATTTGATGTGCATATGTCTAATGATCATTTTTGACCGCCAAATGGCATTTTTTTTCACTTTTTTCGTTAAATCTCCGAAACCGCTAGACCTGCCCTCATGAAAATTTGATCACTTCTTCATCTTGTCAATACAAGTAAAATGTTTTTTGAATTATTAAAATCGGACGCTTCGTTCTCTTAAAAACTGAGTTACCGTTTTCGGCACTTTTTGCCCGGTATCTTCGGAACGGCTAGACCTGCCTTCGCCAAAAACTAATCAGCACGTCTCCTTATCAATAGGAATCGAATGCTTTTTGAATTATTCAAATCGGTTGATCCGTGTTCCCGAAATCGTCGACGAAAATTTGTATCCGCACATACATACACACACATACATACACACACACACACACACACACACATACATCCATTTTTTCTAAGGTATGCCAAAATGTTCAGAAACCTCTGAAACGTAAAGATATATAAAAATTTTCATTTTCGATTTTTTTGCGATTACTATAACTTACCCTACGGGAAGTTAATATAATAATGAATAATCTTGTACCACTTTAGTTTAGATAGTTCGGAACAAAAGTCAAAAAGGGAATACCATTTTTAACTTCCCGAAGGAGAAGTTTATGTTTTCATCAAATAATCCGATTCGCTAATTTTATGTTTTCTCGACGTTTCAAGCCGTTCTGAATCGGATGAGGCGAAACTTTGAAAAAGTATGTGTGTCTGTGTGTATGTGAACAGATTTTTAGCCGTAAATCGGCGTTTTCTCAAAAATTTCATAAATTTAAAAGATGTTCTCGATTCGATGTATCTCGATGAGGACTGGTGTTTATCAATTTTGCGCGACGATCAGCCAAGCCGTTTCTTTGTAAATCGCAGAAAAGTGAAAGATTTTTTGTCCACGTTTTAGCACGCAATTCTGAATCGAGATTGAAAACTCAAAAACTGTTCGAAAGGTATTGGTTGGGCCGATTTCTTGTAATAAAGTGCTAAAAAATTTTTTTGACGATTTTTGTGATTTTTTTTTGACGGTAGATATCATAGTCTTATACATCACACTAAAATATTACGGCCCTACAGCAAGCCGCTAAATTTTGAAAATTGTTCAAAGTTTGCCAAAAGTATTATCGTTTTTTCTAGCATTTGCCAAAATTAAACCTTTCATTAACGTTTGCTCAAAAACGCCTAAACCGATATCAGAATTTTAAAAGTCATTTGCTGTATCTCAACGAGGACTATTGTTTGTCTGTTTTGTGCGACGATCTGCCGAGCCGTTTCTTTGTAATATGGAAAACTTTTCATTCACATTTAAGCTTATACTACCGAATCGATTTTAAAAAATCAAAATCTGTTCGAAAGATATTAGTTGGAAATGATACTGATTAGCTTTAGGTGTGAATCTACCGAGCCTGAAATTTAAGCCGCTTTTTATGGAACTATTTTTGGCGATATATATATTATGGTCTTATAGAACTTACTGAAATATTACGGCCTTACTATAAGTAGTTTTTTTTTTTAATTCATCAAAGATTGAGAAAATGAGTAGTTTTTTGACGTTTGTTAAAATTAAGATTAGACGAATTACTTGGTATAACGATAGAGTACTTGGTCTTAAAGTCCTACGGAAACTGGTTCAATTGTTGTTTTGTGAAAATTTGCTTTTAGAAAAGACTCCGAGTTAACGCGTTCAATTATGTCTAATAAATCCACTCGAAAAACTATGAGTGATTAAAACTCATAAATTAATTTATTTTTTATTGATTAAGTCGATTATTCAAACATATCGGGAAGTTCATGTAACTTGCCTCGAGGTAAAATATTAGTACCAACTAGTTATTATAATAAATGTTCAAATCTATCTGCATCAAAACATATCCCGTCCGAGTTTGCTATCTATTTATACTTGATTATCTATGGTCTTAATAGTTGCTGGAGCGCATTCGATAAATAACTAAAGTATTTTTAAATAAAAATCAATACTAGGCAATTTTACGATGATTTATTAGACTTCGATCTACAATAATATTTTTATATATTATTTTGTTTTCTATTTTGCAAATATCATGGCATACTAAAATTAACTTGGAGCAAATTTGCCTCAGTTGCATTAAGAATTTATTGAACTAACCATTAATAATCCTAACGTCATCTTAATGTATTTTAGTGAATTTATTTAATAATTTTTTTAACACATATTTTTCTACCCTTGGGTACTTTATACAACATGATTGATATTAATATATACGAGATGTGTGACAAATTGTGTGGTAAAAAAGAGGAAAGAAAACTTTTCCTTACAAAAAAAAAACACATAGCAATATTTATTATAATAGTTAATTACAAAAATAAAAAAGAAAAGCAAAATAAAAGATTTATTCATTCTGTAGGAAAATCTGTGTCGAGCCAAGTATGATTTGCCGCTATGGGTCGATCAGTATATAGTTTGTCAAGGCGTGATTGCCATACCAAATTATGTCCCTCGTAAACTGCCCGAGACCCGTGATGTTGGTATTAGGATGATCTCCACATTTTAGATAAAAAAAATATTTATTAAACTAAAATTGAATATAGAATGTATTCAAATTATATTCTATTACAAATGTCGAGTTGTCATGATTTTAGTTTTATCTTATTGTTAGCACCAGTGGTTATAGTCATGGAGCGATTTGATGTCTGTTTTTGTGCCTTCTATTTTTGACAGGTTTTGATTCTGATAACATGTATAAAACGTCCGCGTTTTCTTTGTTCTTTAATTAAGTAAATTTATTTATTAAAACGTAACTATTGTATAAATGTATAAAATATATCCTAATTATAGATGGACCATATTATAGGTGGTCTAATATATGTCTATTTTTTCAGAACTTTTAAATCACAACCACCACCACTCATCATCCCAACAAGATCACGACGCGATATCGGACGTGACGTTGTCGGATTTAACGTCAAGTTGCTGTGCGTCTGAATCTGATGGTCCTCCTCACCATGCAGCAGGAACAACTTTACTTAGTCAGTCCAATGGTAGTTTACAGAATCAGCAGCAGCAGCAGAACAACTGTCACGTTCAAAGTCATAGTAGGAATTCATCTAATACCAGCCAATTGTCGAAAGGATCGGGGTGAGTTGATAATAGAAAAATTGAATTATCAAAGATTCACGACTTAATGAGCTACTAATTTTTTAATTTTTCAAAAATATTTGGCAACTATTTGGTGAATTTATTTGAAACTATTTTTGTTCTATTAAAAGGGTAATTGCAAGATAATCTTACATTATAAGACTGCATAATAAAATAAGTTAAGTAGCGGTAACCCTTGACTTATTTTGTTTTCCCGCGGTAAGAGTCTTTAGGTAAAATAGCAAGCTATTAGTCCCATTAGAGCATTACAGTATTTTATTTGTAACAAATATTCGATAAAAAAATGAACTGATAAAATCATACGCACTATTATTCAAACGTTCGAAATCGCTTGAAATCACAATTAGACACGTTCGGATTTATACTATAGAATAAAAGTTTACGATTTCAAACGGTAATGGCCAATTAAACGATTTACTTCCTGTATTACTATAAGTTATAATTTCAATTCTTAAGCACGTATTTTGATATGAACAGTTTGAGACGTGCTATCTTTATAATTTATGGTTTTAGTTAATAAAATAATAATCTTTAAATGTAATAACAGACTGTGATTTCTCAATGTTATATTAATGTTATCAATGCTATATTAAAGTTTGATTATTGGGGTTGAGATACTGCGCTTAAATTTTTAGTTTAAATGCTATATTTTTATTAAAAATCGTGGCAAACATGCTTGAAGAATAATAGGAAGCGATAAAGTAGGCATTTATATCATTCAAATATATATATCATTTCAAATAATTAGTTGTTGGTCGCAATGTTCCTTCGAAACTTTTGGATTAAATTGATATTAAAATTTGAATGCTATAGCATTCATGTCGTTCTGCATCACAGTGAAAATGAATGCTATAGCAT